ACAGACAACCTCTCGTCAATATGCGTTTTTTGCATTGCATAACTGCAAAAAACGCATAAAAAAACACTAAACGGCTAAAAGCCTTGCCAAGCGCTTCTGTAGAAAGAATCTGATAATTTCCCAGGAAATGTAACGAACGTCATGATCAATAAAAGCAGTCAACGTATACAAAAACAAGATACATCGGATACATACAGACATACATATATAGATACATACATATATATACACATGTACATATATATGTATATATATATATGTATATATATACATATATATATATGTATACGTACATGTATAAAAACACGCAGACAATCGCGTGAGAATATACGTTTTGTGCAGCTGTTGCACAGCAAAAAACACAAAAAAAGTGTTAATGAGGAGCAAGGTTATCCGAATATAAAATTTTAAGAGCATGCGTTTTTCAGGAGGTTATTAAACCTATTCTAAAGTAGACCGGAGTTAAATCTTCAATACTTCAACAGCTACAAGGAGCAGCAATGGACATTGCGAGTTTATAAAAGAGAAGAATGGAGAAGTTGCTACCTGTATCCAAAGTAAAACAATAAGATAGCAGCTCAAGATATCTCAGTGGGTTTGGTGTGAAAATCTCAGAGTGTTCTTCGTATTTGTCATTTAGATGTAGTATCAAAAGCCAACACACTATGGCTTCTTCCGATGGTTGCTTAAAAGCAAAGCTGCTTGCTGTAAACACATGAATGTATTTCTAATTTTGCCGCAGTTTGTTTTCCAGCTTACAGGCACTATGCCACGATGCCACCGCTCTTTATGACAACAGAAAATGATGTTAAGACGTAAAAAACTTCTTGGATCGTTTATATCTGACCTATGAATGGATCGCAGTTTGGTTCAGGAACTGGAAATTTTCATTTTTTCAAAAAATTTGCATTTTCATTTTTTCAAAAAGCTAGCACTCAATGAAGTACAAAATGAAACGGTACTTGAGTTCATCTTCGGCTGACTGGGCACCAAACTGGGCAACCTGTCGTCGATAATTCCAGCAGTGAAAATTTCGTCCATCCATTTTGAGGTACGTTTCGCATGCTGTCAATTCTTTTGCGATATCCGGTTTCGAAAGACGTTGCAGTGACC